GACAACAGAGACATTAAGGCTAAGTACTTAAGCAGATGAGAGCATCAAAGAAGCATCACACAATAATAAATGAGAAGCATCAACACACCATTACTACAACATCACAAAATCATATATCATCTTCATTACTTAGAAGATTAACACANAGAAGCAGTACTAAAAAGANTGACCTGTCCAAAGGAGTAACAACATCTGCAAACACATCCTCTTCAGATGTATCTCCAATTCTCTCATCAGCTTTCTCCACAACAACTCTTGGACCTTACCTCATCAAGCATATACATTTATACATTAGCAACAAGGAAGAAACAACAATGACAAAGGCTAAGTAGAAAGTCTTTACAGANATTAGCACACAANAAACATGAACAGATACAAAAAGTGTAAAAGACTGACNTGTCCAAAGGAGTAACACCCTCCCTCCTCCTCCCTATTTCGCTAATTAACTGATNTGCTTTTTCTATTGCTTCTTCCTGCCACAAAACGAAAATAATCATGAGACAACAGGAGAAACAAAAGAGTCATTCAACATCAATTTTAACTTCAAGGAGAAANAATCGCAGTATTCATGANAGCCGATGATCAAAAACTCACCCGGAAGAATCCGNCGGACATCTTTCAGGCTTTGTAGGAAGCAAGNTCGTTCTTCTTCTAAACCCAGACTTGTTGTGAGGTCGAGGAGAAAGGTCGCGGTAAGACAAATCGCCGGAATCGCCTTCGTCTCGANGCCGAATCTCCTCTCGACGACTCGCCTTCGTCATCGCCCCACGAAGCCTTCATCATCTTCATCGCCCCATCTCCTCTCGACGAATCGCCTCTCGAGAGGAATCTCCTCTCTGTCGCCTGCGGAGAACACGAGAGAAAAGAGAGAAAGAAGTTTCGAGAATGATTTTTTTTTTCCTCTCCCAAAAAAATTATCAGATAATTTTTTTGTCTCGGCCCAATCGTAACTTGACACGTGTCCAGCCGAACCCGATCCAATTAACTTAGTCTACTGATCCGTTTCTTTTAAAAAGAAGCCTAAATCCAATTGTTTATTATTTTTTCTTGGACTGAAACCAATCTAAAATCATGGTTAAACATGCTCTTAAGGGGTTTTTAAATAAGTTTTTT